CAGAAATCTGAATTTAGACCTGCCATATGACCCAGGACCTTCCACTCCTGGGAATTTACTCAAGGAAAATGAAATCAGCATATGAAAGAGTTACCTGTACCCCCATGTTTATTGTAGCTCAATTCACAATAGCCAAGATATGGAATCAACCCAAATGCCTGTCAACTGAAGACTGGATAAAGATCTTATGGGCCATGCATGCCATGAAATATTACTACATAGAGGTAAAAAAAAAAAAAAAAAAAAAGAAAGAAGAAATCCGGTTGTTTGCAACAAAATGTATGAAACTGGAAAACATCATACTTAATGAAATAAGCCACTCCCCAAAGGACAAATATCATATGTTCTCCCTGACCTGTGATAACTAGTAGAGCATGTAAAAGGTAATCTATAGAAGTGAAATTGACACTTTAAGAAGCAATGACTTTGAACAGCCCTTGTCTGGACTGTTGAGGAACATTTTTTTCCCTTCCTCATCTTAATGAGATCCTTGGATCAAGAGATTTTTAAAAGTTATTTTGCCAAATATCAGCTTCTGGTCAACATGTAAGTTGTAAGGGGAGAAGGTAAATAATACAGTGAGGGCTCTGAAAGGTGGCAAGGAAGTGGAATCCCTCAGCACCCCGGGGATGTGAAATGGTGCAGCCATACTGGAAAACAATCCGAAGTTTCTTGAGATATTCACCCTGCCAGCCTCATAGAGTACAACCTTTTCTTTCCCACATAGTTCTCTGCAGAAAATGAAAGCATGCGTTTACACTAAGACTTGTGCAGGAAGGCTCATAGCAACTTTCTTTTTCATTTTTTAAAGAAGAAAGTATTTTTTAATTTTATTGTTATTTATTTGAAAGGCAGAGAGAGAAAGAGAAAGATATCTTCCAAATACTGGTTTACTCCCTAAATGCCTGCAACAGCTGAGCTGAACCAAGCCAAAGCCATGAGATGAGAACTCATTCTGGCTCTCTCATGTGAGAAATAGCATGCCTGCTATTTCCAAATATGCACATTAGCAGGAAGCTGAAAGCAGAAGCAAAGCCTAGACTCAAACCCAGCCACTCTGATATGTGATGCAGGCCTCCCAAGCAGCATTTTAACACTGCACTGAATGCCATCCTTTCATAGCAGCTCCCTACATAATAACCCTAGACTGGAAGCAAACTCAGTGTCCATTAATTTGTGACTAGATAAAGTGTGGTTCTTGCATGCAATGCAGTACTTCTCAGTAATATGAAGGGCTAACACACAATAACCCAGATGAATCTCAAAATAGTTATTCTGAATGGAAGAAGTCTAGCTAATAAAAAATCAGACTGATTCCATTTACTTAAAAATTCTAGACATGCATTTTTATAAATAAATGCAAACTAATATAGTAGGGGTTTCCAGGGACAGAGGCCACAGGAGAAATGATTAGAGGGACATGGGGAGAGTTTTAGGATGATGGATATGTCATTATCTTGATTGTGGTATTGGTCATGAGCATTTGCATATGAAACACTCATTAAATTATACACTTTGGTATGTAAAGGGTTTTGTACACCAATTGTGCCACAATAAGGCCTCAAAAACGATAGTGCAGGAGTGGATGTTTGGTGTACTGGTTGAGACTCCACTTTTGGGATGTCCATTCCTATATCAGAGTGTCTGGGTGTGAGTTCCTACTCCACTCCCCATTTCAGCTTCCCACTAATGTACATTCTGGGAGGAAGCCAGTGGTGGCTCAGGTACCTTGGTCCCTGACACCCACATAGGAGACCTTGATTGAGTTCCCAGTGCCTGGCATTGGCCTGGCCCAGTGCTAGTCATTTCAGGCATTTGGGGGAGTGAACCAGGAAGTTCAAGATCTGAGTCTCGTTCTCTCTCTCTCTCTCTCTCTCTCTCTCCTCTGTCCCCATGCAAATAAATATTTAAAAAAATTTAAAACCGCCAACTTTGTTTCTACAAAAGTGGTAGTGTAATTTTTGGAGAGAGAGCTAGTGTGCCATGTGTCCCCTGCCAACATCCCCTGTGAGAATAAGAGATACATCTTTCCTCCTTTTAAGTCAAATTAGAGGGGCTTTCAAAGAATCATCCAGAGGGCCCAGACTTGCGGTGCAGCAGGTTAAGCTGCCACTTGCGATACTGGCATTCCATATCAGAGCCTTAGTTTGAGTCCCTACTGTCCTGCTTCCAATCAAGCTTGCTGAAAATGCACCTGAAAAGGTACAAGAAGATGGCCCGAGCATCTAAGTCTTAGGTGAGATGCGAATCTGTCACCTGTTGTGGGAGACCCGAATGGAGCTCCTGGCTCCCGACTTTGGCCTGGCCCAGCCTCAGCCATTGGCAGTCATTTGGGGTGTGAACCAATGAATGAAAGATCTCTTTCTCTCTGTCTTTCCCTCTTTCTGTGTTACTCTGCCTTTCAAATAAATAAAATGAACCTTAAAAAAAGAATCAAGTGTGATACACGTCTTCTGGAATTTGGGGGTTAAAGAAGATAGCACTTGATCCACACTCCTGTAAAAATCTGAAAACAAGAGTTGTCTGTGGCTCCATGAGCCTAAAGGAGCAGGAGAAATAGAAGGGAGGCCTGTGTGGAAGATGGATGCGCTTCCACTAGTGGTGGGCAAAGTGATTGTTTCCTGTGGGCCACCGTGCAGGAGCCCAGTGAGGTCATTTTACAGGAGCTGTAAACATTGTAGTTTGAGGGAATGCAATGGACGAATTCTATGTTATTTGGCCTCTAACAATTCTGGGGCCTTGAAATCCACATACCATAAGTCAAAATATTTTAAAGTTATCATCAAGTTAACACAAATAAAATTCATTGCATCCTCTTATCCTAAGACATGCCTAAGATTCTAGAATTTAGAATTTTCCAGATGTAACAGAATGCCGTATTAGAATGCGATACACAAGGAGACTCAGATTCCCATTTCCCTTCGTTCATCATGGATGTTCCATTCTCCTCCTTTCTTCTACCGTGACTCTACCTCTCCCTGTGGAGGGGCTTTTGGGCATGCATGTGGATATTCCAACTGCATGTCCAAGCTTCATTCCAGACCCACAAACGTTTGTCCCTTGGGCCAGGAATATGGATACCAGAAGCACAGTCTGCCCTCAGAAGCATGGACACACGGAAGAGGTCTGCTCGAGTCCTAGAAGCAGACCTAGGGATATTTGGGAATGAGACTGGGGACCTGGGTACCAAGGGCCATAGTCTCAGGTAAGGAGACTTGCAGAGTACATGTCGTGGGGCCCTGGCCCCACCAACATCTTGCACCAAGAAAGCAGGGGCAGCCAGAGTGAGTCCAGGGGTAGGAGCCCTTTCTCTGTGCTCAGGAGTGGATGACATGGATTATATGGCTTGGACTCCTGAAAGTCTAGGGCTGATAGGGTGCTGTCAGGCCAGTGAGAGACAGCGCTTCCTGCTCCAGAGAACTGCAATCAGAGGCCTGTTAAGCAAAGGAAAAACTGAAGAAATCACACACATGGCCCACAGTCAAAAGAATGGGTCCACTGACAACAGCCACATCAGATAATACCAAGCCCAGACACCCCTGGCAACCAGCTGTGCAATTTTTCCTTTTATACTCTTTACTTCTCAGACTTAGTCCTATCAAAGAGTGAGAGGAGGAGGAAAGGAAAGAGAATTGTAACTGACCGTACCCTCCAAATCACAGTCAAGCGCTAACTGGAGATGGGGAAAATTTTTACATTAAATGAGCAGTTATAAGAAACTGCAAAATCTCTGGACCCTGTGGGAGATTTAATCAGAGGGAAAATAGTCAACAGAGCAAGTTTCCCAGGAAGTGATGCAGAATGAAGCTACTTCCTGGTTCATCTTTACAGAATCAGCCATTGTATGCATTTATATGGAAGGAGATAGACCTGTTGATGATCCGGTCTTTGTAGTCAATTGTCCTGGTTTATATGGATCAATATATATTTCTATTTTTCCCAGCCATAGCTGGGTTTTGATCTCTTTTATCCAAAAGGATTTTAAGGAGCACAACCTCTTTTGCTGAAGTAATGTACACATTTGCACGTGTGGTAATCATTTCTAGTCAGTCTTGATAGAGTACTAGATGGATTTTCAGATAGACTCTAACTATGGAAAAGAAAATAAATGATTTTGGAAGTAATATTTTTCCTTTTTTTAAAAAAGAGGTAAAGTTAGGAGGATATCTTCTTCCTTATGATAGGAAAAACTAAGTCTTAGGTGAGATGCGAATCTGGGAAAGACAGAATCTTGACTGTCACAGAAAATAGACCGTGTGGAAAGGTAAGGAGGCTGGCAGGGTGATCAATTCAATTACCTCTGACAATGGAGAGATTCTGGAAGTTGAAGGTAAATGGCTGGAAGAGATAAGGCATCAGGTTGTCCTAAAATCACAAAGCTTCATTCTTACCATGATAAGAGATTGATTCAAAGAAAATTATTTAAGGTAAATCTGAAAGATTTCTTGTTCAGTAAACTGAGGTTAAAAAGTTTACTACACTGTAACTAACAAGGATACAGAATTATAAGTTAAATATGGCTGTCTTTAAAAATAACTTTCTTAGTGAAAGAAACAGCAGGTTCTTCTTTCTTAGTGATTTGACTGGGGAATTAAACCTAATCAGGAGAACTATATGGGCATATACTGATTATAAAAGACCTTCTTTGGTACAGAGATCTACAAACCCAGGACTCAAATAAATAGTGACAGGAAAAGTCATGGTGAGAACAAGTTTCATTAAGATCCTGAAATATTAATTGAATTCCATTCTGCAAAGTGAAGAGCTCTCAACATGAATGGATCAATACAGAGTTCAATCTCTCCTTTCTCTTTCAGAGCAGAATTCACCCTGTACAACAGGCTCGCTGCATTGTCCCAAAATGCAGTCCTGGACAAAAGGCTGGATAGAAGATTCCAGATGGATGGGGTCTCAGTGTGCTCTACAAGTCTGAGGTGAACTGACTCCCATGAAGGCCAAGCCAAAGAGGGAGGCATGAAAAGACATCATCATCATCAGGTGTGTACTTTAGCATCACGTATACTAAACGTGGAACCATACAGAGAAGATTGGCATAGCCCCTGTGCAAGGATGAAATGCAAAATGTGAACTGTGCCATACTTTTTCAAAAATCAACACATGGGATTCATCAAGCAAAAAAGCTACTGCCCACCAAAGGAAGAAATCAACAGCATGAAGTAACAACCTATGGAATTGGAGAAAATATCTGAAAACTGTTCAGCAGACAATGAAATAATATCCATAATATATATAAGGAACTCAAAAGTTCAACAGAAAAAATGTACTACAAAAAAAAAACACAAATAATTTGATTTTCAGAATGGTCAAATGACCTTAATAGACTTCTCTCAAAAGATATAAAAGGGTCAATAGTATATGGCAAAATGCTCATTATCACAAATCATCAGGGGACTACAAATCAAAACCACAATGAGATATGATCTCATCCTAGTTAAAGTGGCTATTATCAAAAAGACAAAAAAAAAATGCTAGCAAGGATACAGATAAAGGGGAATTCTCACCCATTGCTTTTGGGAATATAAATTAGTAACAATCATTATAGAGTACAATATGGAGGTTCTTCAAAAACTGAAAATAAACTTGCATAGAATCCAGCAGTCCCACTGTTGGGAACATGAGAGTATTTCAAAAAGGTCAAGGAAAACAAGGATTAGAAGAAAAGGGCTTTTACATTAAAACAAATTGAAATCTGTGCATAGTTTGTTCATAACACACACTTTCAACAAATTTTCTTCAAGGTGTTCATAAATCCAAAGGAAATGAAAGCTATCTGTCAAACAGACATATTCACTGCAGCGCTAGTCACAATAGCTGAGACCCAGAATTGCCTGGGTGGCCATGAGAGGATAAATAGATAAAGTGTGGCATATTTACATGGTGGAATATTATTCAGCCATAAGAAGGAATGAAATTTTGTCATCTGTAGCCAAATGGATGGAACCGGAGGATATTATGTTAAATGAAATATGTCAGGCACAGAAAGGCAAACGCTTCATTTTATCACTTATATATAGAGTCTAAAACATTGGTCTTCCAGATGTTGAGAACAGAATAGTGGTAACCAGAGGCAAGGATGGAGAGAAGGTGGTTATCAGGTACAGGGGTACAGCTAGATAGGAGCAATGATATCTAATATTCTAGAGTATAGTAAGATAGCTACAGTTGTCAACAATTGACTATTTCAAAATAGGTAATAGAGATTCTGAATGTCTCCGACACAAAGAACTGATAAATATCTGAGATAACAGGCCAATTACTCTGAGCTGATCATTACACATTATGTACTTGTATTGAAAATGTCACACTGTATCCCATAAATATGTTCAATTATCATGTGTCAGTTAAATATAAAAATATATTTAAAAACAAAAATTAGAGATGCCAATTACCCATAAAGTCATATAGTAGCTCTCCCAGAAAACCCTTGATTAGATAGGATTACAAGATTCCTAAGTGGAAGGAATCCACTCTCGCATTTATGTGTTCAGCAAGCAGATATTGAACAACTACTGTGCACAAGGCATTGTTCTTGGTATTCAGAAACAGAGTAGCAAGCAGATGTTAGTATCCCTTTAATAAGCATGTAGTTGACTCACAGTGAGAAGAGGAAAGCAGACAGTGAAGCCTAAGATTAAGCTGGGGAAATAGCTGTTCTCTGCTAAAAAATTAAAATGTTAGAACTGGAGTGTCAGAGTGTTGGATAGTAAGTGCTTGGCAGTATGCATTGATCAGGGAGGGACTTCTCTGCTTTTCAGGCAATTTTTTGCTGGCCTTCTTTTCCAAGTAGCTTTCTTCCTGCAAGACAGGGTGATGTAACAGATAAACTTTTGAAGTTATTTCAGATTTTAAGCTCTGTGTGCATATGTTTTCTATCTTGCCTTATTTTTAGAATGTTTCTATTCTTAAAAATGCCTAATGCTTCACTGCATTAAGCAACTTGAGGCCCCAACAATAAATGAGGCCTAGCTTCTGACTTTAACAGAATCCCAAATGGAGATAAAACAATTGCTTCTGCTTTTAATTGCTTTCAAAAATAAAAATAAGCCATAATTGAAAACTACTTCAAACCAAGTAATCAGAAAAGTTGTGGTGCGTTGACGGTAAAAGTATCTCCGGTTGTTCTTCCCTCTTCCCATTCATATCCTTTGTGGTGTGACTTTGAAGCTCCTCCCGTTGAGGGGTAAAGTCTAGCTCTCCAAGCCTTAAAACTGGGATGGGCTTGTGACTTGGACAGCAGAATGTGGAGGAAGTGATGTTGTGCCATCTCTGAGGCTAAGCCTTAAAGGTCCTTGCCATTCCCTCTTTCTATCACAAACCTGTCATGCCCAAAGAGACCAAGCCCAGTTTAACCTGCTGGAGGATAAACAGAGTAAGTGGAGGAAGCACAGTTGTCCCAGCTAGGTCATCCCAGGCCACCTCACAGCCAGCATACCCCCTTCCAAGGTCAGGAAGCCTCCCTGCCTTCACACTGCCATCCGCAAATGCATGAGTGAACCTACCTGCAACTGTAAGAACCATGTAGCTGCCCTGCAGACGTCAAAGAAAAAAAATTCACTGCTGTATACTGCTAAAGTTGACTTACTAACCACACCACTTGATTGTGAAAATTAATATCTGATACCAAAGTCTGCATGAGACAGCAGTCTTTGAATAAAGCCCTGGAGAGTGGGAAGGATTTTAACTGGTGGTTTAAATAGGAAGAGTTTCAGGCCAAAGGAATAGCATGAATAGCACCATGGAGTGAGAAAATCCAATGTGTGTTCACAGAATGGCAACAACCCAGTTTAACAAAAAGACCTCAAAATTTTAAAATGACTGCTCTCATGATACCAACTGCAAGAACTGATCCGGAGGGATGGCCACCCTCCAGATAAATCACCTTTTAGGGAGGATTCAGTCTGACCCTGACCCAAGGCCCCTAAATGCCCTACTCTGAAAATACAAACACAAATTGCACTCTTCGTTGGGCTGAACCTGAAAGATACAAGAAGTGGACAGAGTCAAATTTTGTAGTTGTCCCTGTTTTAACAGGTGCATCCGAGCAGGTCAAAAAGCGAATACTTTAAATAGAGAGAATACAACTAGATGGTGGAACAGAGAATTGGAACCAATGAGTGCAGATTGCGGGCTGAGACAAACTTTTTTATTTCACCTAAACTCAGAAGTACTCAAATCAGATTTTTAATTTAGTTTCTTGTTGTTGTTTTGCCAAGAAATTAAATTTAGGAACATGCAGGTGTTACTGAGGTGCTATCAAATTGGACGTCTCAAAAAATCTTTAGGGAAGTAGGTGGCATATGAATAATCAATAAAAGACTAATCCCTTTCCAGAGAAACTGGTAGGAAAACAAAAACACCGTGTTGACTTTTTCGTATTGATTGCTTGCTTTTACTTCATGTTCCCCTTTTCCATTTCCTGCTATTGCCAGGATTCTAGGTGACCTTTCTGTGTTTAATTACCCAAAAGAAACATGCAAGAAATGAATGCCAGGGGAGGAGAGAGGTCTCTCTCCCTGAAGGTCTTGTCAAAATAACTATCCCCAAGCTCCCTCCTCTGTAGGATACATGATGCTTTTCAGAAATGAGCAAAAAAGTAAATGGGGAAGGCATATGGCTGTGAGGCCAGAGAAAGTGGAACAGGGTGGGGAAAAGCCAAACAAAAGCATGTGATTGGAAGCAGAAGTGCCCACCTTTGCAATATGGAGGCTACTAAATGAGACATTCCTGGGATTTTTTTTTTTTTTTTTTTTTTTTGGACAGGCAGAGTTAGTGAGAGAGAGAGAGACAGAGAGAAAAGTCTTCCTTCCGTTGGCCACTACGGCCGGCGCGCTGCACCCATCCAAAGCCAGGAGCCAGGTGCTTCCTTCTGGTTTCCCATGAGGGGCCTGGGCCCACGTACTTGGGCCATCCTCCACTGCCTTCCCGGGCCACAGCAGAGAGCTGGCCTGGAAGAGGAGCAACTGGGACAGAATCCAGTGCCCCAACCGGGACTAGAACCCGGTGTGCTGGCACTGCAGGTGGAGGATTAGCCTAGTGAGCCACAGCGCCGGCCTTCCTGGGAATTCTTAAGACAGGGTTCTCAAGTCGGACAGCTCCACCAGGAAACTCTGAGTAATTAGATCCAGTTATCTTACCCAACCACGTGACCGTTTCCAATGCAGTTATGGACAGAGCCTCTCAGATGAGCAGCTGAAGAAAATAAGAAAGAAGTTTCAAAGATACTGCTACTCAGTCAAGTGTCACCACTCTCTCCAATGAGCATAGAGGAAATACTCGTATATTAATTTCCTCTCTCATTACCTTCTTTGCATCCAATGCCTTAGGTGCCTAATAAAAGCTACTTTACTGCCTCGGATTATTTCCTGGCTTAGTGACTATTTTATTTCACTGTTATGGGGCTTGATAAGAAGTTCAGGGAGTGACACGGAGGAACTTCAATTTGAATTATAAGATTTCTCATTTGCAGTTTGGGCACCGAGACAGAACAACTCGGCTCCATTTCACAGCCCTCCGGCCCGAGTCCACGTGGTTGGGAGGACAATTCAGAGTCCTTGAGTGTGCGCGTGCCAGGGGCCAGCATCTGTGTCCACTGAGAAACAACTGGGAAATTAAGAACTTTTGGTGCGACTGAAGAGACTAAAGCAGTGTGAGGAGGGAGGGTGGGGGAGGCACAGAAAGGAATGATGTCCCTGTGAAGGAATCTAAGACCTGTTTGTGCACAGAAGATGGCTTTGCTCAATAGTCACTCATAGAGCGCACGAATTTGATGGATCTTAGGGATTATAACCTCAAGATTCCTCATTTTTTCAAGGGGAAACTGAGGCCAACAGAGCAGATGTTCCCTCCCCAGATTCCCCATAGTCCAGTTCCCCAAGACCTTCACTAGTGCCCCTGCTTCAGCCTAGGGACTTGCAGCTCCGTGCCTCATCACTGTCTCCCATGCACTAGCCTCAGGTTGGTGAGCATGGAGATATTCATCCCAATAGGCCATCACCCAGAAGGGCCCATGGCAGTTCTGTGTGCTTAATTAACTGCCTCGATAGAATAAATATTTGTATTGCCCCCTTCCACCTACATTCATGGGTTGATATCCTAACTCCCAATCTGATGGTATCTAGCGGAGAGGGTGGTGTGGAAGGTGAGTAGATTGTGAAAGCAGAGCCCTTATAAAAGAGAGCAGGGTGATTCTGGAACACAGAGTAAGCCAGGCACATAGGGACCAACAGCACATGTTCTATAGGAGCAGACAGTGGAAGGGTGCTCACCGCAAGCCAGGAAGAGGAGAGCGTGGAGGGATAGAGGGGGCTGGGTAGCAGGTACCAAAGTACTAGTAGACAGGAAGGGAAGTTCTGGTGTTCCAGGCCATTTCAGGGTGACTAAAGTTCACTGTCATTTATTATAGACTTAATACAGAATTAGAAGAGAGGAGTTCAAAGCTTCTTAATGCAAAGAAATGATGAGTGTATAAGGAGATGAAAGTGTTAATTATCCTGGTTGACTATTACATATTGTATACATGTATTTAGTTATCACACTGTACCATATAAAAACACACAATCATCATGTGTCAATTAAAAAAAAATGATGTAGCATTTGTTCAAATCCCAGCTGCTCCACTTCCAGTCCAGCTCCTTGCTAATGCACTTGGGAAAGCAGCAGAAGGTGACCCAAGTGCTTAGGCCTTGCCACCCATGTGGGAAATCAGGATGGAGTTCAGGGTTCTTGACTTCAGCCTGGCCCAGCCTCAGTCATTGCAACCATTTGGGAGGTGAACCAGCGGATAGAAGATCTTTCTTCTCTCTCTTTCTCTCTGTTTCTCTCTGTCACTCTTTATTTCAAATAAATAAATCTTTTTAAAAAATTTAAAAGAAATTTTAGAAGAGAGAAAAACCCCAAAAAACTCCTTTGCTCCTTCCAACATGTGAATTCTCACAAGAAGCCAGCAGTCCACGAGAGCAAGCTTTCTCCAGACACTGTATCTGCCTTGATCTGGGGCTTCCAGGCCTCCGGGACTGTGAGAGATGAGTTTCTCAGCCAGTGTTCTGTTATAGCATCCTGAACAAACTAAGACACTTAGTGACTGATTCAGATCGATGGACTCCACCAAATGGACGTCCATCATGGCCAGACTCCCAGGCTGCACTCTGTTAAGCTCAGACCCAAAGACCTGGTCCAACTATTTCAAATTGCTTTCCCTTTGTTTTACCAGATTATCTGCTGAGCCAAAGGAAAGGAACATCCCCATCCCTGCACTGGAAGGATACTTTCTTTGGGCTAGCAGTCACTGGAGGAATGATGGCTATGGTTTCTCAGACACCCGAGCCCAGCTTTCCCATCACAAGGCCTGGAAGTCCAGCGCTAGCCTGAAAAAGGAACAAGTGTCCACACTGTTCACAAAACGTGACTCTCTTATCTTGCCCACAAGCAGAACAATGTTGTGAAAGCTGACCAACAGATTTCAAAGGCTGAGAGAGTGATTTTTTTCACCTGTGCCAACGAACCAAGTACTTTTCTTCTCAATGCTCTTTGCAAAAGATCATCTGACTTTGTCTATGGATGATAAAGCCATGAATGTCCTCAGCAACCTTCTTTGACCATGCCAGAAGTGGTGTTGAGAATAGACTTCATAGTATCTCCCTTCTTATCATTGCCTCTAACAAGTGCCTCCTCATCTCCAATTTCCATGCACAAGAATATCAGTTTTCATGTCTCAGCTTGAGATCCTTGATTTAAATCCCTGATTTATTTTTACTCCTGCTCCCAGTGCCAACCTAGGAGAGTTCAGACATGTTTTCATATGCACTCAGATGTCAGGGAAATTAAAAAAGAGGCAGATTTTTCATATCAGTCAGTTAACGACTAATTACAACTGTGCTTTCCAGCAAACCAGTGATTGTAGGCTAATTTTCAGTTATGAAACAGAAACTGAGGTTAATGAGGCTAATTGTGTTTACCAGCATTTTCGAACAAAAGAAAAGAAGCCAACTCGATTTTGAAGAGAGTCCTTTGTCAGGAACAAATTGGGGAAAATTGCTACAGTTGTATCAGCGTTTCCGAAAACTGCTTAGTGCCACGCTTGGGAAACTAACATCCTTGAGCACAAGCTAGTAGTCCAGAAAATGGAGTCTGCGGACAGTGAAGCTTTCCTGGTCCAAAGGGCACCACTGCATGACCGTGATAGCAGAAATCTTGAAAGCAAGGTGACATGGAGACATTCAATCGGCCAGCTGTCTGTTCTGTCTCATTGTGCCAGGGTTAGAGGTGGAAGGAATCAGCATATGCTGACGTCTGATAAATCGAGATTCTGGCTTTGCTGACTTGGAGATTGAGGGAAGTGACCCAGCATGGAACCGCTTGAGAAGAACATGCATCCAGCAGAAGACAGACGTGGCCCTGATACCCTAATACAAAATCACCTTAATACTGGCCTCCTTGGGCTTCCTCTGCCTGTGAATGCTTGCTAAATCCATGGTTTCCGCCATTTCCAAGAAGGAGGAAGCTTAGCTATAGCAACTCCTAGGGAAAATCATCAGTTAGGAAGCTCATTTCCTACTATACATATGTGTTTAAATACTGTACTGTATTCCATAGGAATGTGCAAGTACTACATGTTAATAACTTTTTAAAATTTTTATAAAAATAAAAGAAGAAACTAATTTCCTGTGACTGCAAATCGTTTATCACATAACAGAACAAGTATCGTCTGAATACCGGGTTCATGAAAAAAGAAAAGCAAAATGCCCACACTTCCCATGTGTGCCTTATCCACTTGGTGTGATGGCTTCTCCTCTTGATGGTGCTACACTGTACAGCAGTTAACTGTGCTCAGAAGGAACCACCAACATCAGATTACTCCGGTTCTAAATTTAGGTCCCAAGATCTCAGTGTCTCTAAAGAGTCCTCTACAGAGAGTCCTTTGGGGGCACTAGGCAGACTCGAGTGGTGTAACAGCTTCAAAGAGCATAACAGAATTTTGAAATGCATCCTATTGACTATTATAGTTCTGTAAAATACACCCTGTTTTAAAGGAGGCCGGGTATCCTTAAACTTGAGACTGTTTGAGTTAACCACAGACCTTTAACATTCGTGATGACGATGATGTGTGCATGACCCAGCCAGGATTCGTGGAGGACATGCTGCATTACTGAGGAATACAAGAGAAAAAGATGACAGGGCTTGCACTAAAGCAGTTTCTACTCTTCCAGTGAGACCAGATTCATCCATGGTTGACAAAACTGGGCATCAGATAAATTGCATGTTCTTGAAGGCTGCTATACTGTGTATAATTGAATGCCCCAGTATAAGACAAAAGTGCTGAAAATGATCAGAAATAAAAAATCATGCCCATTTATGAAGAAGGTTCAGACCAAATGAAACCTCTTTTGTGGCCTTTCTGATCTCTCCATTCACAGTCTTTTTCTGTTTCATTGTTCCCAGGGCAGAGTTTCAATCTTGCTTTAGCATGGAGTGCACCTGCTTTATTGGTAAACTTGTCTACCTAACTAGCTGCTGCTTTAAATTGCAAGCTCTTGGAGTTTAAGGACCTTAACTTTCTTTGGTATTCTTTATAGCTCATCATATTGACATAAATATGCATTGAATAAATATTTATTAAAATGCAAATGAAAGGAGAATGTTTGTGTTTTCTAGAGATTATTGGGGAAGGAGTTATAGAGAATATAAAAATAAGCCAAAGCCAGCCGGCGCCGTGGCTCAATAGGCTAATCCTCCACCTTGAGGCGCCGGCACACCGGGTTCTAGTCCCGGTTGGGGCGCCGGATTCTGTCCCGGTTGCCCCTCTTCCAGGCCAGCTCTCTGCTATGGCCAGGGAGTGCAGTGGAGGATGGCCCAGGTGCTTGGGCCCTGCACCCCATGGGAGACCAGGAAAAGCACCTGGCTCCTGGCTCCTGCCAGGATCAGCGCGGTGCGCCGGCTGCAGCGGCGGCCATTGGAGGGTGAACCAACGGCAAAGGAAGACCTTTCTCTCTCTGTCTCTCTCTCTCACTGTCCACTCTGCCTGTCAAAATAAAAAATAAATAGCCAAAGCCACAAGAGCTAGAATAATACAGATTTAGTTAGGAGAAAAGCAGTTGACTTTTTAACAAAGAGAAAACAGACTGAGCAAAAACAAAGAAAGAAACAAACTTGATCGAGTGGTGGGAATGGGGTGAGAGACATTGGCAATCTGATGATAGATGAAGATTTGTCATAGATGAATGAGGAAAGTTGAGACAGATTTTTTGAGAAACTAGTTAGAGTGTAAGAAGCTTATGTTTGCCAAAATTCAATCCATCGATCCTTTGGATCCCTTTCTGAAATGCATGAAGGTGTTTCTGGAATGGGCTTGTAAACTCAGAAAACTGTTTACATTGTGACTTGCAAGACTGCAAATCCAATATGTCAGTCCTTCAGAGGCTGGAGGAGTAGGACGCTCAGGTCAGCAACACAGATTCAAAATTAACCCTATATACAAGAGTGTTTTGTTAAAACTCAGGCAAGAAACTTTTATTTCTCTATTTGAGAGGCACACACACACACACACACACACAGAGGCATGTGGAGGAGGGAGGGATAGAAAGAGAGAGAGAGGAAAAGGGAAAGAAAGAGATTCTATTTTTACTGCCCAAAGTCTACAACAGCCGAGAATGGACCAGTTGGAACTCAATCCGGGTCTCTCACAGGGATGGCTGGAATCTAATCACTTGGTTAATCACTGCTACCTCCCACAATCTGTGTTAGTAGTAAGCTGGAGTCAGGAGCCAGAGCCATCACTGGGGCCATTAATCCAATATGGACTGTGGGCATCTTAACTACTAGCTAAATACTTGTACTCCAAGAAACAATTGATTTTGTGATTCAGGTTGTGTCTATGTACACAAAATAGTTGGTCACTCTGATCAGTCCAGCCTACTTGGCATATGAATGTAGTCTTAGCTCTTGAGACTTGAGTACAAGTTCTCCAGAGTCAATAGAGTTACTCAGTCATTTTCTATTATGGTAGACTTTTAGGAATTACAATCCATATAGAGCACAGATTTTCACATCACATTTTCTTACCTTCCCATGTGATCAACAGGCTTAGTTTGGGGGAAAGAAACTTATGGCCATGCCCATTTGCAAAGACTGCATAATCATCTAGGGATAGTGGGCCAGTTTCTTTTTCTGTAGCCACAGCCTGAGCAAGAACATCCCCATTCATGTCAAGGGCCATTTGGGCACAATAGGGCTTTGAGGTCATTTCAATTCTGACATTCTACCCAGTCATCTCCAGAGCTCTCTACAGCAGCTCCAGCCTCTGAGTGGCTCATGGTTAGCACAGTGTCTCAACTCATTAACAATTTTATAACTATGAGATAACTGCATCTTGTTTCTGAATAGAAAACTAGTACAGAGTGGCACCCAAATTTCCCTGTGCCCAGGCGCTCTATGCACTGTTGTTTGCAAAACTATAACAAATAGATGCATTCTTAGTATTTTACATCAGGAAGACAAGGAAGAGAAGTAGATAAAGGAGGGGATGGAGGAGAAGGAGGACGACAAGGCCTTCACTGCTACTACCACCAACCAAAACATAGCCTGGTTATTTCTCTTATTTTCCAACATTCTAGAATGTTTAGACTTAGAGTATTTAGACTTAGAATTTTAGAAAGATTCTGAAGGTCAACAAAGGAGTAGGAAAGTTCCCAGGATAGACCCAGCCCTGTGCTTTTCATGACCTGTCCACCACTAGCATTTGCACTGTAACTCCCACTCCCTACTAGTCACATCATACCACCTGTTGCTCCCCACACACGCTCTGTGCTTTCCTACTTTGTTCTCTCTGGATAGGCTGCAGCCCCCGACCCTCTGCCAAGTGCCAGAAGTGCACAACATTCCTGAAGGCCTGGCTCCAATCCCATCTCTTCTGGGAGGCAGGCAGAGCTCCTCGTTCCCTTTCCAGCATGTCCACCACATGACACTGGGCACACTTGTCCACCACCTCATTTGTCATCTTATAGTGAAGCTAGCATTTCAATGAATGCGTCCCCTGTTTCTTTGTGAACTAAGGACGTGAAATTGGTTTTGCACTCTTTGTACTGTGACTGGCATACAGTTGGTGTGCATGAATAATGCTTATTGAATGAATGAATGGGGAAGTGAATTAAACACTATAAAGGAAAGAGATCTCCATTTTCACCTGAATAAAATCCTTTCTATATAGGACAAGGATGCCATTTAGCATCCCATAGAATTTTCTTTGCCTTAATATAGTCCTTGGGTATAGAGCTAAAGACTTTGAACTTCGTGCTAGAGGAATCTGGTAACTGATAGGACAGAAAGAGCCTAGGAAGAGCAAAAGCAAATCAAAGAGAGTTACCTGGCAACAGAGAAAAAGAAAATTTACTGCCATAACAGAGTGGAATTCTACTGCTGTATAATTATGTGTGCACACACGAGGACACCCATGTCGTGTAAGGGCAATGTATGTACAGGGTGAGAGCACACAATTGAGGAAGTACATGAAATGGATTTGAGTGCATACAGTTTAAAAAATAGTACCCACATACACAGGGTGCACTTAAACACTGGAAATAATCATAACAAAACTACCAAAATTAAAATTTACCAAACTCCAGAAACTACCTTAACCTTACTAGTTTAAAAATAAAATGAGTGTTTGTTACAGAAAAATACAACTTTATTTTACTTTTCTCCATATTATTGCTGTTACTTCTTTAAAGTCTTCCATTAAAAAAAAGTTTGTATGTTATGTCCCTGGTTAAAAGCAGGGGGAATTCCTAGCTGCCTGTCTGGATTGAATTCTGTCTTCCTAGCATTAGGGGGATGAAAGCTTAGTTCCCAACACACCTAGACATCACTGAGGCTGTTTCTGGCAGCAAACAGGAAGCATAAGCATTAGTCTCACAAATTAGAAGAGGTTAGTATATTAGCATTTTTTAGGCTTACTGAATTCAATAATATAGAAAGTCTATTTGTAAATATTATCTAATTTCCTATGCAATTGTGTAGTCAGAATTTAGTTTTAGTGAGTTGCTGTCACCAACATCTGCTATGCAATCAATTAAAATTGTAGATGAGTCTCACATGCTCTGGAAGATAAAATTCATGTAGGCCTAGTTCATATTAATGAGACTAAAATCAGGAAGCAAGGGGTTAAAGAGAGATTTTTCTTCCCTCTACCACCCAAATATTTTCATTTTTTATTTTAAAATTATCTTAATGGTTGCCTAAATTCTCCAGTCCTCCTCGTATATGCAGCAATAAATGAAAAATTATTTGCTCAGAAAATAAAAAATGCCTTCTAAAGCATTTTATAATGCTTTGTAAAGAAGGTTAGAAAAGAAAAAAAGAACACTGTATCAGAAGAACGTTTGGGTTTAATTCAATTACAAAATCTCCTGATTCAAAGGAGCTCGGCAGATCATCTAACAGAAGCCTTCAGTAATTCAGAATTACTGAATCCTGGCCCAAGTGAGCATCGGCCTATGCTTGGCCCTGCTCATGACAAGAGGTGCATAACAGGGCATCTCATTGGTTTCCTGAAAGTTCTCTTTGTTGCACTTCTGGGTACAGTCTAACTCCTTGAAATTCCATTCTACTTCTGTATTCTGGAGCTAAACAAAAGCTTCCTTTTTGACATGACAGCTTTACCCACCACTGCCATCAGCCTTGAATGGAATTAAAGTTGGCAGCGCCACCCAAGGAATCATGTCCTGAGTGAGAGAATTAGGACAGGTCTATGGTTGGTACCAACAAGACGAGATCTTCAAGTTACAGACTGAATGATCATGTTCCCTCAAAATTCGTAGGTCAATGCCCTAACCTCCAATACCATGGTGCTTGGAGAGCGGTCCTTTGGGAGGAAATTAGGTTTAGAAGAGGCTTGGAGGGTGGCGTTCCCATGATGGGATCAGTGCCCTTATTATTATTTTTTTTTTTTGAAGGATATCTATCACTTACTTCTCTCTATGGCCCATTTTAGATACACTGAGGTAATGGCTATTGCTTCTTCTTCTTTTATTTTTATTTTTTCATTTTTTCACAGGCAGAGTTAGACAGTGAGAGAGACAGAGAGAAAGATCTTCCTTTTCCGTTGGTTCACCCCCCAAACGGCCGCTATGGCCGGCATGCTGCGGCAGGTGCGCCTTGCCGATTCGAAGCCAGGAGCCAGGTGCTTCCTCCTGGTCTCCCATGCGGGTGCAGGGCCCAAGCACTTGGGACATCCTCCACTGCACTCCCTGGCCACAGCAGAGAGCTGGACTGGAAGAGGAGCAACTGGGACAGAATCCGGCGCCCCGACCGGGACTAGAACCTGGGGTGCTGGTGCCACAGGCAGAGGATTAGCCTAGTGAGCCACGGCACTGGCCGGGATCAGTGCCCTTATAAGAGAAAGCCATCAGAGCTTGTCTCTCTCCACTATGTGATGATGCAGTCATCTGCAAGTCTGGAAGAAGATCTTCCATAACTGTTGGTTAACTTACTCAGTCTATGAGATCAGCCCAAGCAGACTAATACATAGCCCAAGCAGAACACACAGGGCTTCTCTGTCCAGCGTGGTTGTCATTATACATCTGTAAGTGATTGCTGAGTACTTAAAATATGGCTGGTCTGAACTCGATGTGCTACATGAGTAAGACAGCAGATGAAGACTTACACAAAACAAAAGCTGAAATACATAGTTTTCTATATTGATTATAAGTTGAAATAGCAATGTTTTGGACACATCAGATAAATTTAATACATTATATTAAAACTGGATCCAACAATGTGATCTAGCGGATAAAGCTGCCACCTGCAAAGCCAGCATCCCATACAGGTGCCAGTTCGTGTCCCGGCTGCTCCACCTCTGATCCAGCTCCCTCTTAATGGCCTGGGAAAGCAGCGGAAGATGGCCCAAGTGCTTGCTCCTGCCACCCACGTGGGAGACCCAGTTGAAGCACCTGGCTCCTGATTTCAGGCACGTTCAGCCCTGGCCATTGAGGACATCTGAAGAGAGAACCAACAGATGGAAAACCTCTCTCTCTCTGTCTCTTCCTCTCTCGTAACTATGACATTAAAATAAATAAATCAATCTTGGGGCCCGGCGCTGTGGCACAGCAGATTAACGCCCTGGCCTGAAGCGCCGGCATCCCATATGGGTGCTGGTTCTAGTCCCGGCTGCTCCTCTTCCAACCCAGCTCTCTGCTATGGCCCAGGAAAACAGTGGAAGATGGCCCAAGTACTTGGGCCCCTGCACCCACATGGGAGACCCAGAAGAAGCTCCTGGCACCTGGCTTCGGATTGGTGCAGCTCCGGCCATTGCAGCCATCTGGGGAGTGAAACATCAAAAGGAAGACCTCTTTATCTCTCTGTGTAACTCTGACTTTCAAATAAATAAATAAATCTTTAAAAATAAATCTTTTAAAATTAAAATATAATTCTACCAGTTTTTTTATGTTTTGTAATGTAACAACTAAACAATTTAAAATCGCATATTTGGCTCACATTATATGTTTATAGGACAATGCTGCTCTCTGAGCAAGGAACTGTTTACAGACTTGACAAACACAAATTCAGTCCAGCCCCTGCCTTCTCCTTTCCTACTTTTGCCTTTCCCCAATTCCACTGGCCAATGCCTCTTCCATTTTGTACACTTGTAGCACGGTTTGGCCTTTTCCTCACTAATGTTCAATTGAATTTAAACTTTTTTTGATTCCTTAGTTGAATACTCATAACAGCATACTGATGGACCCTCCAATAATACAGAAATTGGCCCTCAATATTTCAAACTCCATTCATCCAAATATCAAATAGTTTTTTTGGTAGCTACTCTATGCAAAGTACCAAGCTAAGTATTAGGAATAGAAAAGTGAACGAGATGACATCCCTTCCTAAATGGAGCTTATGTTTGACCAAAGAGAAAGATGTTAGACAAATACACAAATACACACACACATACACACACCTCCCCATACATGTACATATAATAGTCATAGCTGTTCAAACTGTGATAAACTCCATGTTGCAGAAGCTCTGGATGACCTTGGAAGTTAGAGAGGACATCTCTAAGGAAGTGGCAATGAAGGGAAGATCTGGGAGGTAGGAAGAGGTCCTCCAGATGAAGACTGTGGAAAAGAGCCTTTCAGTTGTGTGAAGGCTTCAAAGCAGGAAAAGACTGGACCATACACGGCTAAATGGAAGAAAGTATAATAGAAATGTAGGGGGTTGGGAGGAAATGGGTCAAGATGAAGTTAGAGACAGAGACAG